AATTCTATAAGAGCCCTTAAGAAGCTAAAATTGCAAATACTCCTCAGAGAGACCTGGTTTTCCAGCAGAAATCAGGATTAGCACATGCCAATATTTAGGTCGACATAGAGTGGGCGTGAACAGCAGTATGTGGAGGCTTGGTTGGATGGCCCCAGGGTTCTTTTAACCTAAAATTCTATGGGAGTGTTTGAAAGGTCATGTATTGGCAGTTCAGAGGGAACTCTTGATCCCTGTTGCGTACACTAAGCTCATTCCTTTCTCCTGGCCTTTATCTTTGCTCAGCTCTCTGGACCACCAGAAGGATCTTTGCAGGGCTCTTTCCATCCCATCATTTACATCTCATTGCCTCAGAGGTCTTTCTGGGCCATTCTTTCCAAAATACTCCTCTCCCACGTTTTATCCCCTTCCTGAATTTGCGTCTCTGCCCAGCACTCACCATGGTCGGGAACAATACTATTTGTTTACTTGATCAGTGTCCGTCTCCCTTCCAGGAACAGAAGCTTCTTCAATGTGGATCTCTGTGGGTCTTGTCTATCACTGCATCCTCAGTTTCCGAAACAGGACCAGTCATTTAGTGTCCACTTAACACATGCATGGCAAAGAAACACAGGGAAGCAGGGAGGCTGAGAGGGAGGGAGCAAGCCTTCCTCTAGAAAAGCAGGGCAGTGAGAATGTGTGTGTGCCTGTGTGTATCCATGCATACGAGCATGTGCTTATGTGCCCACATACATGTGCATGTGTGTGAACATATGTGTCCATGCATATGTGCATGTGTGTGCACAAGTACCTACGCATGTGTGCTTGTGTGTAAATGTGTATGTGTGCATGCCTGTGTGTGCCCATGCACACACACGTAGGCATCAAAGAGATTTTCATTTGAAAGGAGACCTTTACTATAATATTTATGATAAACATTTCAAAATTGAGTTTTAGTGATGTGCAAAACAGGAGGAAGATGCCGGTGCCGAGGCTTGGCACCCCAGCTGCCTGAGCCAAGTCCTCAGGCAGTGAGGGAGATGTAGGTAAGCGAAGCTGGGAGTGGGGGTTATTTAGCTCTGAAGATTGGATTGCTGGTATCTTGTTTTGATTTAAGAGCCAACAAGAGAGATACACAGACTTCAGAGAGGGAAAACAGCACGGTCAAAATGACAACTGAGAATAAGGTGGCCAGCCTTGGTCAGAATAGTGCTGACCTGTGCAGAGGTAGGCTCTTTCTTCAGGTAAGGGCTCCTCCAGGAGCTCCTGGCCTCAATGCATGCCCTGGGCCCCGTCTCTTACTCTCCACCCTCACACCCTCAGGAGAGAGTGATGCAAGATGAATGGATCCTAAAATTAAAATCCAGTAATTGTTTCGAATTACTGTCATTCAGTGAATTAACAAGTTGGCACCAGGCAGTGGCCCTTTCCCACTAAACAAAACAAAACTCAAATGCATTCCCCAAGGAAGGGGCTGAAACTCATCATGTTGTGTCTGGGGCCCAGAGGGCATGAGCACAGAGATCCCAAAGGGTTGATGCTTTCCCTACCGCTAGTGGGGCAGGCTGTGGTAGGGTGCACGTCTGAAACTTGAAATTGAATTAAGTAGCTTCATGCAATGGCTTCTCTTGATGGCATAGGATAAACATCATGAATAAAGAAGCAGCAACAGTAATCCAAGAATGTTTGCAACAGGCTCAAAATGCTACCTGAAACCAAGAATGGGTACTGTAATCAAAGAATTGGAAGCCACCTTGACCCAGAGGAAAAAAAGATGTTAAACTTTGCAGCTATTTCTCAGAGGAATAGAATTTTGTTTTCTGTTTGTAGAGATGGGAATAGTCATCCCTTATGGAAGAAGACAATAATTTGCTGCATTTTTAGGACTTGTAATTGTACAGGCAAATTCAAAATTCAGTTATCAGTAAAATTATAGCTAGATAATGCTGCCTCCTTTGTGGATAGCTATCCTCACTTCATGGGAGAGCACCCCTTTATCTGTTGAAGAGATGTCTTTTTTATTTGCTCAGGGCAAGAACAGAAAATAAGTCACTTTGATTAAAGGTGCTGAAAGTTGGAGTAGATTTAAATGTCCTTTTGTATTTGACTATTTCCAGTAATTGAAATATTTTCATTTTCACCAATTGGTTTTGTTGTCGCAACCATAATATATTCATTCATACAATAATGTTTATGAAGCACCTACTATGTACCAGACACAGTGCCATATATGTGTATATTATACACACACACACTGGAGATACATATATATATATATAGTTTTAAAAATGAATTAATACTATTGGATATTCAATAGTATTAATCCATTTATAAATATTTCTTGCATGATAACTACTTGCCT